TTTACCCGGGGTACGATAGAAGCCACCATATATATATATATATATATATATATATATATATATATATATATATATATGGCAAAGGATAGCGTACGATTGACGTACGTTGTACGTTTGTGTTCACACTTGATTTTTGCACTTTAATATATTTCATTGAATCAGAACCGTCTGTTATTATTTTTTAGATTAAATGAATCTTGTGACTTGGGTTGGAGAATTAGGAATTGGGATTCACCCATTAGAGGTAAGGGTATAATATCTTGCCCCAAACTTTGGTTAATTCATCCTCTAAATAGTAAAACTCGACGGGCGTACAATGTAAGTCTGACGTACGCTAGTCTAAAGCATATATATAATGGATAAATTTTAGATTTTGAATTTTTCAACACAAACCCGAATATCAAGTTAACAATAATAATAATCAACAACTCTGATTAGTCGAAATACGACGAAATACATTGAATAATCAGGTCATACTCTGGTGTACTTGAGAAGTATACCAACCATTACTTTTTATCTATACACACCGGTTGGATCAGGTCAACAGAATTGGAGTTCCTTCCAACAGTCCCTAATTGATCATATTTTATCAAAATACGAAACCAAATTAATTTATTTCATTTGAACAGGAATTAACGAAGAACCAATACTCAAAATGTTAGTTTTTAGTAGTATTGAATGACACATGGATGGGTTGAATATTATTTTGGTTTATGATTCCGAGCTTAGATCCGGTTAAGATTCAAGGTTGCGTTGCACGCTTTCTTCAAATATACACTTCATGAGTTGCCAGCCCATGTTTTGACTCTTGGCCAGTGGTTGACCATTGACTAATACTACCTAGTACCTTCCAACTTCATGGTTGTCAAACCGGTTTCATGTCGGCCGGTTCAACCGGGTACAACCGGTACCGGTCACCAAACTAGCTGGAAAGAGGCCGGTATTTAATTGTGGTCAAATCCGGTCAATTCCGGAAATTCCGGCCGGTTAGACCACAAATCGGAATTCAATGTTACACATATTTTATCCAAAAATAAACACCTTCCTTAGGATTTGAACCAAGTACCTCATGTTCATTTTAGTCTCACTTATACACAAATAGGCTACAAGCAACTTTGTTGTATATATTAACCTTATATATTATATATCTAATACTTAATTTTACACAAATCATTATAGACATTAATAAAATTCATTTTATATACTTTTATTTTTAAGCATCTAATTGTTTAGTATTAGTTACCAATTCTTAGCTATAAACTATTTTGTGTGAAATAATTTTTCTAATTGCTTTTTGATGACTAATTTATTTGGAATTGAGGATTTCCATTTGTCTCATATATTTTATTAAAACCGGCACAACCAGCGTGAATACTGGTTGTACCACGGTCGGACCATTCCACTTTCAAAACAGGCACACCGATATAAACCGGTTTGACAACCTTGCTTCCAACATATATACATCTAATTACAGAACGTCAATAGACACTAATCATTTCTGATAGTGTTGCAGTTTGGTCCAATCTTTTGCTGTACGAATGACCGTCTCACTGCGTGCATGATTTGGGTTCAAACAAGTTGAAACTTGTAAATCCGCAAGACTCGAGTACTAGTGTACGAAGAATCAATCAACCAACCCGATTACTAACTCGAACGGTTCCTCTCCGATGATGGAGTGACAGAATCCCGGAAAATCTGGTATGGATATAGGACGAAGGAGGATGGGTGTGGCACCAGTTTTTGTGCTCCTCCAAAAGGGAAAAGGAATAAATGTGGAAAGCAATAAGGCCAACAGAATGTTGATGCTGCTGCAAGTGGAAAAACCCGATCCCGAACCAGCTAGCTAGCTGCATAGCCAACTCTGCAAGACCTTTTCGACCTATACATAAAGTAATTGGGTAAATGCCCCATTTTGGTCACTCAAATTATTGGAATAGATTACATTTAGTCACTCTCTCGTTAGTTTCCGTCCAACTTCATAAATGTAACCTATTCCAGTAATTTGAATGAAGTTGGACGGAAACTAACGGGAGAGTGACTAAATGTGACATGTTCCAGTAATTCGAGTGACTGGAGTTGGACGGAGGCTAAAGGGAGAGTGACTAAATGTGACCTGTTTCAGTAATTTGAGTGACCAAAATTGATATTAAATTTTTCTAGTGACTAAACAGACACGATTTAGTAATTTTAGTGAACAAACGTGGCATTTACCCTAAAGTAATTGGTCGAAGAAAGATTATCTGTCGTAGGCTGAAAGTCACCGATTTCGGGGCACATGATGTATTGGGTTATACGCGTTCGTTTTTTTTTCTTTCTATTTTGATATTTGTCTATAATTTTTTCGTTTTAAAATCGGCTTAGGTTAAACCGTCTGGAAAAAAGTACTATATAATTTGTCACATTGCTGACAATACATGTGTGTTGTGTCTGACAATGATAACATATCAGCGGCGGATCCAGAACACAGAAGAGCACTGGGCCGCATTTCATTAAAAAATTAGAACCGTAAAATAACATTATAGTTTTTTTACAATATAAATTGTACACGACGGTATTTTGATTTAGCGAATGCATCAATTATGGAGTCCACATCCATACCAATAGTATACATTGTTTTAAATAAAATACTTTAGCAATCGGCTAGAAATTCCTCGTTCATTTTGTTGCGCAACAACATTTTTCATATGTTTCATTATTGAAAAGGTTCTCCTTGTAGTAGTTGTTGATACGAGCAGCATCAACACTAGACAAATCAATCGTGCATTGTGTGTCCATACCTATATCCACTAACTGGTTTAGTAAATTTTCAAGGGAACAAACCTCATATTTCTTATAATCTTTTACGTTTTAGACTTTTAGAATTTTAGATTTCATTGTTTTTTTTTAGAAAAATAGTCTTTGGAGCTAGAATTTCTAGGCTAAATTTATAGTAGTGATTTGAATATGTTAATCTGAATCATGTTTCTAGTTACACACAATCTTATTATAAAATAACACTAGGCCGAATAACTAAAATCGAAAAATTCATAAACACTATACTAACTCCGAATCCAGGAAAGGGCTGGGCGGGGGCCCGGGGTGGCTACCCCCTAGATCCGCCACTATAACATATACTAGTTATTTTAAATTTTTGTTGACGAGCCAATTCATAAATTAATTACTGTAGACAATTCATAAATTAATTACGTCTGTCGGGGGAGGAAAATGATCGATATTTGCCTATTTGGTGAAGAAGCTGATGGAATGAGATTTATCATTGTGTTATCGACACAAGCAAGCAAGACATTCAATTGAGACCCTCAGAGTCAGCTATGCCTCCTACCTATCACTTATCCTCTGCGTGTCACGTTATTACATGCATGTAAACAATACGTACGTTTTTAATTCTATCTATAACCATATATGCGGTTAGTTAGTTAGTTAATAAACTCAATATACAACGTACAGTGTAATAGGTCAAATTTTCGCGGAAAGTCCCAAAGCAGAAAACAATGAATTGAATTGAGGTTATAATTAATTATCAAGGGGTCCAATCATTGAAATAAAACCTTGCTTGCTTTGCTTTATGTATTTGCGCCACCTTTCATGACATTAATACTGTCGGTGCTTTGATTAACACCATGCATCCCAATCCATCCTTTTCTCTCCCCATGTTACCCGCTCTATCTAGCCACCTATATTTAAGCTATATAACTCCATTTATTTTCACTATTACTCTAGGATGAAAAACAAACAAAACAACCTCCACTAATTTGTTTCTAATGATTGCTAGATAGATAGAAACCTCTACTCCAAATCCATCCAAAGAAGCCACCATACAAAATCAAAAGAAGTTAACTCTAACGAGAACAACAAGAGCGCTTTAAGTGTCACTCTATGGACAGTCGAGTTGACAATCCGCAGAACCGCGCTAAAACTATACAAAGAGGACACAAACTTAAGTAACTGAAGACACTCTCGAAGCAAGGTATCCCAACGAATCTTCCACCGACCCACTGGTCTAGTTGTCGGATCGCTCTTGAACCTACTAACGTGCTTTCGCTAATTCAACTCGTGTTCTTTAACCATGGACATATCCCTATTGTGGGACGTTTTGCTGCGAACTCAAATATTGCATTGTGCTACCTATTCACGGTCACGCGATTCGCAAAGGAGGTCGTTTGCTCTACCAATAAAACATATGTCCGCAAAATAGGTCCTTTGTTCTACCAATAGAACATTTTCTACTTCCAATGGCGGGTTCCTAGTCTGATCAACACTCTGAAAAAAAGCTATTAACATATGGTGCAACTCGAATGCGGTTCCATTTGAGATACATCAATGTCGTAGTAAAATTACGAGTTTGATTGGTACTCCAGTCGGAGTCAAGCAAACAAGAAACAAACAACACAACTAGGAGAGAGAGAGACTAGTCAGGAAATTGAGGCCAGGAGTAATGAGCTGGATCCAGCTCCATCTACAGCCTACTGTACTAGTGGTAGACAAGAATGGCAATTTCAAAGATCATGATACTAAAATGTGTTGGAAAGTAATCTTTGAAGAACAGCAACCCTAAGTCTAACAATTAAAGCTTTCGTTAATTATATGGGAATGGAATACTAATCATTGATATCATTACAACTGTTCAATTACAATTCTTTCCTTTCCTTTCTTACACTTCTGTAAAAGAACAAAAAGAGAGAAAGAAACCAAATAAATAAATAGAGCATCAAGTTGTTGGAGGAGGATGAGATCTCTGCTCCCTTTCCTGCAGAGAAATCCCACACCTCCCAAATTATTACATTTTCATACCCCCAACTCCACTTTCTCTCTCTATCAATCATATAATTTAATTCCCATCGCTACAGTAATCCCCCAAGTTCATGTATTTTATAAAAACGCACCCAAAAGGACGAAAATGAAAAGGGAGAGGAAAAATTTTGTATCGTAATAATAACAGGTGAGAGATGGAGAAGAGGAATAAAGGCTGGTGGGTGGGCCCCACGCTACACCACGGCCCATCAAGCTGATCCGCCCTCGGGAACCTCACCGGCCCCCTGAATTTCCTTCTTTACCCTCGTCTCCACCCCGTAATAACCGGAATACCACTTCACGAACTTCCTCAAACCGCTGGCCAAATCCGTCGAGGGCTTGTACCCGAAATCCCTATACGCCAGGCTGACGTTGGCGTGCGTGAACGGAACGTCACCGTTTCGGGGCATCCCCACCACGTGCTTCTTCGCCTTCTTCCCCAGCAGCGACTCCAAAATCGACACCAGCTGTCCCACGGGGACCGGCGACGTGTTCCCCAGGTTGTAAACCCGCAGCTGCGCCGGCTTCTTCTTCTTCCCGCCGCTTCCAGTGCTCTTCTCCGCCGTGTCCAGCGCCCCCACGCACCCCTTCACCACGTCGTCGATGTACGTGAAGTCACGCGCCACCTGTTTCCCTTCCTGCGTCTGGTAGACGTCGATTGACTTCCCCTGGAGGATGTCCTTGGTGAAGAAGAAGTAGGCCATGTCGGGGCGGCCCCAGGGGCCGTACACGGTGAAGAATCGGAGCCCCGTGAGGGAGAGGCCGTAGATGTGGTTGTAGGTGTGGGCGATTTCCTCCCCTGCCTTTTTCGTGGCGGCGTAGAGGCTGGCCGGCCGGTCGGTGCGGTGGAGCTCGGAGAACGGGACCTTGTCGTTTAGCCCGTAGACGGAGCTCGACGACGCCCAGACGATTGCGGGCTGGGGATTCGCCGATTTCGCGATTTCGAGGAGATTGATGAACCCGGCGATGTTGGAGCTGACGTAGGATTGGGGATTTTGCATCGCGTAACGGACGCCGGCTTGTGCGGCGAGGTGGAGGATGTGGGAGAAGGGGACGACGTCGAATAGCTTGGCAAGCAGTACGGCGTCGTTCAAATCTCCGTCTACGATGAAGACCTGGTTCTTCAGGAGCATCTTCTGGCGAGATCTCTTGAGGGATGGGTCGTAGTAGGAATTGAAATTGTCGAGGCCCAGGACGCCGTCTCCGCGCTTTTTCAGGGCGATTGAGCAGTGGGAGCCGATGAATCCGGCGGCGCCGGTGACGAGGATGGAGAATCCGTTGGGGCGGCGCGGGGTGGAGGAGTGGCGGACCTGTTTCTCCCAATTGGGGCCGCCGATTGCGGAGGAGGTGGGGAAGCGGGAGGAGGAGAAGAAGCCGGTGGAGAGGAAGCTGTGTCGGTGGATGGCGGCGCCGGCGTCGACACGGCGGTCGGAGAGGGGCGGGTAGTTGATGGTGAAGAAGAGGACGAGGACGAGGGCGATTAGGAGGGTGGTGCGGAAGATGAGCTTGGAGGAGGCGTTGAGGAGCTTGGTGCTCTGTATCCGGCGGACGTAGCTGTTGTAGCGCTCCAGCTTGATGGTCTTGCTAGTGTCCGGCGGCGACCCCATTGCCGGGATTTTGACTAGCTTTTTATTTGTGTAATGTGATTGCTGGGTCGAAGGTGGAATGCGGAATTGTTGGTAGTTGAAGTGGGTAAGGAGGAGAGCTTCGGAGCTAGGTGAGAGCCCTGAAACTGAGAGGAGTGTGGGAAGAAGGAGATTATAAAGGGGGAGCAAAGTGGTTGGATGGATGGGAAATACGAGAGAATTTAATTAAAATCCAACTAGGAGTTACACAACTGACTGTGAAATCCTAATTACGATTTTAATATAGAATATTATATAGTTAACATTTATTTTTGTGCAATTTTTTTATATGCTTTCACAAAATATTTCGAAGGAAGTAAATGTGCGGAATGAGAGTAGGGATGGCAAAAATATCCGTAACCGTGGATATCCGCCCGAATCCGACCTAATCGGATAGGGTAAAACCCGAACCCGAAAGACTTTTAGCGGGTATGGGTAAAACCCGAACCCGAATATTGTGGGTAATGGGTGGGCATGGTTTTCTCACTATCCAACCCGAACCCGCCCGATTATACACATGCATATGTATTTTGTCTAAAAATAATCAATATTTTTCTCTAACATATTTTATATTTAGCATATAAATATAATTTTCTTATGGAATTGTGTTGTTTTAATTAATTTTCTTCATTCTAGTGAATTATTGTCGTACTTTTCGTTTTACGTAACGTGAGAATATGTGTATATATTAACATATTGATTGGGGTTATAAAGAAAAACTATTACCCATGGATAACCGTGGATACCCGAAACCCGAACGGGTATGGGCATGGTTTGGATTTTCTACCCGTTTCTTATGTGGGTATGGGCATGGATAAAACTCGAACTACTTTGGGTAGGGTAACGGATATGCACTATCCGTCCCCGACCCGACCCATTGCCATCCCTAAATGAGAGTACGAGTACTAGGGTGAGTTTTAGTTGTTGTTGTTTTTTTTTTTTTTGTGATTGATGGAAAGTGGTGGGCACTAATTGGAGGTAATTAATTGTGTAGTAGTTTTGAAGCTTCTTCTCCTTCGTGTATTTGATTTCTAAAGCCATTGCTTTCCAAGCATTAATGCAACCATTAATGTCAGTATTGCAGTAATCATTTTTGGGTGGGTTATTACTTGTCACATTTGAATTTTCTTATAGGTAGCATCTTTTGTACATATGATTACAATTACTGATGAATTAACCCTTAATAGTTTAGGTTGGTAATGGTTGTTGCCTACTTTAATGTAAATGTCAAAGATTAAAATCGAAGAGACTAAAATGATTCAAGGGGTAATAAAAAGCACAATAATAAAATTGTTATGAATAGTTACCATCTGGTGTGATAAAATCAATGGAGAAGTCATTCGATACTAATACTTAGTTCTTTTAACTATAGGTAAAAAAAACATGCAAATTTTGTAATAAAATTTGAAAAATAAAACATTTTATAAGAGTCATAAGACATTAGTTCCTTTTTATCTTGCATGCTAAGATTTAAATCACTTATGTGTGTGTATACAATCACATCCTTTTAATAGGAGATTTGATCGAGGTTGAGTAAGAAACTAAGAATACATTGTCAATTAAGGATATCAACATTCAAACTATTGACTTTTGTGTTACTTGCATCTTCACGACCTATTGGGCCGAGACTCGGTGACTGATGGAGGCAGCTCACACGAGGCTCATGCAACCCATGCGCTCACACAGCCCACGTCCGCATTGGCCACCTGTTACGTCTCTCACTCAAACTCTGTAACCCTAGATGATGATTGTAAACTAGAGTGTAAAGAGAAGGGTTGTTATATCAAGCCGATCAATCAATCAATAAAGAGATAGAGTGTTCCCCGTGGATGTAAGCCTCACACAACGTGAGGAAGAACCACATAAATCAAAGTCTCGTTTATACTTCCACATAATATTACATGGTATCAGAGTCTGATGAACCATGATGAGGTCTTGATCTCATCCTCGATAGCCCTGACGACTCCACACTCCTCATCTTAGTAGCCACCTCGACGAACCGTCTTGATAGCTAGGCCACATTACCCACCTAGACAGGATGAGAACTTGGCCCCTTGCTACCCGCCAAGTTTTAGTCTTAGAAAGACTGTCATGGGACCACTTGTTATCTTGGTATCAAGCTTGTCTTGTCGACCCTTGCTACCCGGACCGCCTTGCCATCATCGTCTTGTTAGCTAGGCTTTGTCACCCAAGCTTGTCTTATCAGCTTTATATCCCCTGCTACCAAGCCGACCCTGTCGGCCCGGTCTCCATACTTAGTTTTTAGAATCTCATCTTGATATCTTGCACCCCGCCAGCTTGGGGGCTCTATGAGTCCTCATCATATGGACACCCTTAGCTTGGCATCCTGGCCGATCCATCCACGTGGCTCGATGCTGGCCGGCTTGATACCCCCTTGGGGTCATGGTACCTTGTCGCCTTGCTTGGCTGCCAAGCCGTCGGCTTGATACCCCTATGGCTCCATACTTAGCCAATTCTCATATACTTTGGTACCAGGCTCTCCTTGCCGGCTTGGTACCCGGTCGTTTGGCACCCCGTTGTGCCGCCCTCTTGTCTTCATATGGCCTCCTATTTGGTACCCGGCTTAGTACCCGGCCCTTTGGCACCCCGTTGTGTCGCCTTGTTTCCAAGACTTAGCTTTTTGGATGGCCTCCTGTTTGGTAGCCTGCTTGGTACCCGGCCGTTTGGCACCCCATTGTGTCGCCTTGTTTCCAAGACTTAGCTTTTTGGATGGCCTCCTGTTTGGTAGCCTGCTTGGTACCCGGCCGTTTGGCACCCCGTTGTGTCGCCTTGTTTCCAAGACTTAGCTTTTTGGGAGCCAAATTTCATATCAAGGGGTGGAGGCATTGTCCGGCTATGAGGGCCACGGAGACGGGTCGGCTACTGTATAGAGAAGAAGGGGTTTGGCCACTTAGGCCCAAAAATCCAAACCAACAAGGCCTAGCTAGCTCTTTTAATTATTAGTGTTGAGCTGGCCTTATATATCCATTAAATTTCTTGTAGCTAATCGATGTGGTAGAAGCTGGTTTTTTTATGGTAAACATATGGTAAAAACTAGAATGTATGGGCCATGTGATTCTCTCTTCCCCGGTGTAATATTGCTGTAATTAGCTAGGTTCCATTCTCTCATGGGAAGTGTCAATCTCTCTCAGGCTCTGACCCGAAGAAAGAAAGAGGAAGGAGGAAAGGGGCGCGAGGAGACAGCTATGCCGGGAAACCTCAGCGCCCATGTGACTTACACGTGTTCAGATGTGAAACGTCGTCCAATTTCTGCTACCCCATTCGTCAATTTTATCCATTTATTTTTGTTACATAATTATTATTATCATCATCCGTATTTCACAATCTTTACTTTGGATTAATTACATGTCCACAGCCAATAGTGACGGTAGTTAATGATCATCATTACCGTTATAAATATGGTTTCACGTGGCAGACGGACAGTATATGCTTGCCATTTACTTTTACCATATAGCTCAACTTACTCCTTACAATAATCGGGTTATGATTATAGCCCTCTATTTTTCTTTCATTTCTGCTGATGAATTGCCTTTTGGGAGGTTATGTTTTTGTTTTGAACAAACCCTTACATTTACCTTTTCTGAATCATACAATAACAATATTAACACATTTTCTGAACATTTACTTTTGAGAAAAATTGGAAGGTGATATGTATACATATAACATTGGTGGGATATTGATAAAGTACACATTAAGTCTGTCATTATAACTCATGAATGATTCATGTTATGAAACTAAGCGGCGTTGCGTGACATTTTGATAAATTTTTTATGGTATGGTAAAATATCCACATATCGGAATTTGAAATCCACGCAATTGATAACTCACTCACTTGGCTGATTAGTTTTTAGTGATAAATAATGAATGGCTCTTAATATTTCATTTAGTTTTGCGTAACTCGTTAAGAGTAATGTACACGTACAGTATACTTAATTATCTCCAAAGTAAATGAGTAATTCAAATTTTATTTTCTAAGTATGCATTTCATATCAATAAACCTCTTTCTATTTTTAATAATTAAAAATGTACCTCTTATTATTATTTTTAACAATAAAAACAGATTCCAATTGTCGCCCTAAGCTAATACACGATCTAACTTTTCTTTTGTTTCTCTTTTACAGCTAAAATAAAACATTCATTGATCATGCATATTGTCAGATAATATTGATTAATTATATAAATGAACGTTATGAACAGCTAATATGGAACGGGGTTTCTGTTGATAGTGCCATTAATTAACTTGTTATATGCGATTGCGCCTGCTACTAAGCAAGTAAGCATGGAATCATATGCGGGAACACCGCTTAGCTTCATGGAAACTTGAGTTATTCCATAATGTTCAAGTGTCAAACGATAACAAACTACATTATCGACAAGAATTTGGCGGTAGATCAGTATTAAAATATTCATGGGCACGTATAATCAAATATATATCATTAGTATATTAATGTGAAGCGTTGATGATTCTGTCTACTGGGGGAAGTCTAGCTACCTGAAATTTATTAATTGATTAGTTGTATATTCGATCCATGAATCTCTCACAATAGCTCGATTTATTAGGACCACCAATATTAGAATTCATTCGATCCCCAATATCAATCATTCATTTAAAGCACGTGGTATTGAGGGGCATGTGTAAACTTCAGGTCCATGAGCTGGCTTTCGTTGAGGAGTGTGCAAGAAAGTGGTTAAGATCTATATATAGATCTCTCCAACAACTCGACTTATTGACACAAGTTGATTTAGGCTGAGTCCAATGCAGCCTGCATTTATGGGGTTGTCGGCATTAATGGCGATCGGGGAGTTCCAACGCAGAGAAATAAATGCCGAAAATCGGCAATTATGGAGGCGATCGGCAATTGGATCGCTATATATGGGGGAGGGTTTGCCGATTTCGGCATTTATGGAGGCCGAGCTGTCTGCTGGGCCTCTCCCTTGCGCGTAGGGATGGCAATGGGTAG